GCTGAATGGTGAACAGCACATAATATCTTTGGCGTTACATGTTCGAATCCTGTCAGAGCGACACATCTTTTCGTCCCGAAATTCTCGAATATTCAGTCCAGTATATATAATTATAACATACAAAACGAAATATATATATATATATATATATATATATATATATATATATGTGTGTGTGTGTGTGTGTGTGTGTGTTGGGTGTGTGTGTGTGCGTGTGTCTGTGTGTATCATTGAAAAGTAAGTAAGTGAAAGACACGTGGGAAAAAGCAGAGGGACGCGTTTCGTTCCAATGAGGAAATTCTTCAGATTAAGGACGTTACATTGTTTTATTTAAAAATGTCATATCGTGTCAGATTTTGATAATTTTTATGTTTTTGCTTTCATAACTTCAACTAGCATAAAGAAATTACCCATGAAAACATTCGAAACTGAGGAAAGAACGAAAATCCATGCAAATGGAAATAAGCTTTTGTCACACATTCAATATATTGATTATCCAATGTCTGAAATTGGACTGAGTAATTTAAGCATTTTTATGTCAGCTGCAGCTTCTATAGAATTTGCATTCTGTAATGTTACAGGTTCAAATTGTCTCTCAGAATGCAACGCAAGGACATCTGAAACATCTTCAACTGGCTAGAGAGATATCCCTGTTTTTTGTTTAACAGAGTCTTGCAATACAATTCATCTGCAAACAGCCTGTTTTTGCTATTCCTTATTGTGACAAGTCACCTACCGAGTTATGTTGTCTAAAATTTTGAATTTACCAATGAATGATGAAATCTAGCGGTGAATGTATCGATATTATGTACTGAGTACAAAATAAGGAACTTTTTAAATTCAAAATAAAATTCCACGATTTTTTGTTCTTTGATTTGTTGTGAATTTTTCCCCGAGTAACAAGTCCTGAAAAAATATGAAAAAAAATTATGATAAATCTGAGATGTTATGACATTTTTAAATATTTAGGTGATTTTTTGTTAGAACTTATATATTAAAGTGACGATGGAATGTAATAGCAATTCAACAAAATTTTTGAAATTTTACATAGAGACGTTTTTGATACTGAGAGGCCCAGCGTTAAAGTGTAATTCCATCCTATTTCTACGCCTTCTATTTTATTCATACTCTTATCGTGATTGTTTGTAAAAATACCACATCGTGTTTATATGTAGTTATTTTAAAGATGAAGAAAATAGAGAAAGATTATTGAAAAAATTTACCAAAGGGTTTCGAATATATATATATATATATATATATATATATATATATATATATATATATATATATATATATATGAGTTTTCTAAAGATAGAAAGAGAATTGCATATAATTCTACAGAGAGTCAAGAATTTCTTTTTACGCATTTGCATGAAAATATATGTAAGTGTATACAGATATGTATATTGTAGCTATATATATATATATATATATATATATATATATATATTTCTAATGTAAAATATATGTATGTAATGTATATATATATATGAACAATGTAAACAAATATCATTATGAATATATACACTTATGATTTATATATATATATATATATATATATATATATATATATATATATATATATAGATAGATAGATAGATAGATAGATAGATAGATAGACAGATGTGTACCTGTGTACACCTATGTAACGATATAAAATATAGAGATGAACTGATATGCATCGATGGAAAAGTCGTTTCATCATATATATATATATATATATATATATATATATATATATATATATATATATATATATATATAGATACATATACATTACATTACATACATATATATTCTGCGTATATACGAATGTTTATGAAGAAAAGTATTTATATTTATTATCATAGAATATATATACGTTTAATATATATATAAATGCATATTGACATATATAAATCTAAATACAATTTCATGCGTGTGTCTTATACATACATATATATATATATATATAATATATATATTTATATATATATATATATATATATATATATATATATATATATATATCCCTATACCCATTTCTTGGTATTATAAGTATTGTATATGCATATATATATATATATATATATATATATATATATAGAGAGAGAGAGAGAGAGTGATAGAATATATGCATTTTCAAATATGTACATTTCAGTTTATATTTGTATATATGCATAATCTGTGAAATTGATCTACTCAGATGCATATACGTAAAATTTTATTTATCATATATATATATATATATATATATATTCATTACATATATATATATATACACGCACCTCTATCTAATTATATATATATATATATATATATATATATATATATGTAAACATCCTCTGCACACTGGTTGAAACAAAGTGTAGTTATTTCCTTTTGATCCTTTCCAATAATCTACTTGCAGAAATAACAGTGCCAAAGGCTGAAATTTTCTCGCTTTTCATCTCCCTTCTTGAATTAGAAATAAAAACAAGTAAAAAGTTCTGTGTCAGCAAAACAAAATGGGAATTGCAGGCAAACGCTCTCGTGTCGATTTTATTCTTCATATTTTCCCGCCACATTTTAGACGCCATTTTATTATTTGTTTATATGCTGTGCCGTCCATTTTTTTTTTGTTGTTCTTCACCCTGAAAAGCTTAACGGAACCGAGGCAAACTAAGATGGATGCCCATAATCTATGTATATTAATCGACATCTATCTATCTATCTATCTATCTATCTATCTATCTATCTATCTATCTATCTCAGTCTGTTCACATCTCTCTCTCTCTTTTCTGTATATATATATATATATATATATATATATATATATATATATATATATATATACATTGCTTTTGTGCATATGTGCATGTAAGCGTGAATATATGCGTTAGTGTGTATGTTTAAAACAATGGAGCATTTATTTATTTGTAAATACGGTCGTTTGTATTCAACGGAATCAGATCATCTTGTGTCAAGTTACCAGACTTTTACAGATTGAGAAAACACTATGCGAGCGCTAAAAAAGAAAAAAAAAGTAAGAAGTATAATATACATTTTCTCTTGTGCAATATATAGATTTTACTCCCCAAAGTTCTATGAATAGCAGCAGATTGTAATTTAAAGCCACATCTATTCAGAAGTCAAAGCAGAAGGAGTTTGAAAATCAGTCGTCTTGGCAAATACATGTGAAATCAGATAAATATATACAAAAATAAAAAGTAGTTGCAGAAGTTAACAACAAAAAATAAACGCTTCTTCATTCATTATATATTGATGTTGTATAATGCTCATCAGTTAGAATTCATTGGACAAGTAAAGACTGAAAGGTTTTTCCTTTTGCAGATCGCTGTAAAAAATTATTTCGACTTGAGGCATACCATTTAAGGATTAACGTATAAACTCGATTGTACAAGGATTACAGTATATACTCGAGTAGAGTGCGAGGTTTTATGACAACTTTTACGTATAAAATAGGGTTTCGCACTATACACATGTAATTTTTCCAACTTTTTAAAATTATGCATATTCGGTGAGCTGTTGCACCATACACAAATATTATTTTTCTGAAGAGGTTAAATATTCATGCCAAAAAATCAGGGGTCGTTCTATACATGTAATCGGCTTATACACGAGTATATATGGTAATAATAATAATAATAATATGTTTTCAAGAGTACAGACCACACCTTACGAAGGGCTTTATCTATGCAAATTTTTTTTCTTATATTTAATTGCTTGGTGGAAAATGTAATGCCATTTCTGACCTTAGGTCTCTGGGCGCGACACGGAAAAAATGAGTACACACAGAAAGCAAAGGAAATATAATAATAATAATAATAATAATAACAACAACAACAAGCCAAATCCCTGTCTGGTGAATATTTCTCTTAATAATAACCTAAAAATACTTCAGTCAAGGGTGTTATTTTATTTATAGTAACTTGATGTTTGGGTTGTGCCTTACTCGGATTTCGTCGTTCGATAATCTGCGTCTGAAAGATGGCGATTTTATCGCGGTCGCCATCGTGACTCGGCCTTTTTTTTTTGCTAAAATCAAAGAGTAGTATCTGTTCTTATCAGCTTGATCAGATTCTCTATCTCCACTTATTTCTTTCTTTCTTTCTTTCTTTCTTTCTTTTTCTCTCGGAAACCACGCGATCAAAACGGAATAGTTCATTATTTATGAGGCATTGACAGGAAGCAAACGTCGTACGAAGTAATGAAGGATGGGGGCAAGCACAATTACAATAGGAGTATAATAATAATAATAATAATAAGAATAAGAAGAAGAAGAAGAAGAAGAAGAAGAAGAATATAATGTAGCCTATACGAGGATTCTAATCTTAACTGATTAGATATTTTATAATGTATGCTGTATCTGGCTCAATAAAGATATTACTGGTAATGTTACTCGTAATGTCAGAGGCGACAGGCTGTTTCATGCTAGATGCAATCACGATTGTTCACATTTAAATTTATATTTATATATGTGTGTGTATGCATTCATATATATATATATGTGTGTGTGTGTATGTATCTATATATGTGTGTGTGTGTGTGTATGCATCTATATATGTGTGTGAGTGAAAGTATCTATATGGATTAGTTTTCTCAAGATAGAGAAGTATGCATCTGTATAATTTTATATACAGTCCAGAATGAATTTCTATTTACGTATTTGCATACATAACAGCAAACATTCGGCTTTCATTGACGGAATTGTGACAAATACTTTCAATTGACATTTGGAAAAGCTTCCTCTTAAACCATTTTCTCAGGAAAAATAGCTTTCTCACGTTCGCAATATGCTGTCTCTCTTTCTATCTTGATGGCGGTTTCCTTACTAACCTTTTGCTTGATACAGTGCGGAAAGTCAACATCTTCCTTATGTTCTCTTCGCCTTACATGTTTTATCAATTTAAATTTCTGCTGGTATTTTCCAGTCTTCATAGGAATTCGTTTCTGTTATTTGGTCGTGTTCTTTGTTTTTGAGACTTTTAGCGTCACTCCATTTCGAAGAAATATGAGCTTACAGCCACATCACGTTGAATTGCCGCTTCTCGTGTGATCACCGAAGTTAAGCAACGCAGAACTTGGTCAGTACCTAGAAGGGTGGCCACTTGGGAATACGAGGTAAACTTGGATGGGCGTGTGGTGTAATGACTAACGGATCGGAATTGTAAGTGGGAGGGCCGAGTTCCAATTCTATTACGCGAAACCCTTAAGGGAAAGGTATGAATGTATCTTTTCTCACATCAGCTGTGTGTTAAATAGAGACTTGTAATCATAATTGTTTGAAGACATTAACATGTATGCTGTATCTGGGTCAATAAAAATATTAATGGCAATGTTGTATATATATATATATATCTTAATCTTATGCAGTGTTACATTAGAGCATGCACATATCCACATATGTCAAAAAAGGGGGAACACCGTGATTCCCCACCTGATGAGACATCCAAAAAAAGCTTTCACACTTATTTGACGTTAAAAAAAATTTGTACAATTTTGTAGTGGATATGTGCATGTTCTAATGTAACACTGCATAAGATAAATAAATATTTACGGCTCTACTTTGTGTATTGCGTACTGTTTTTAAATTAATGTTCTGAATGCTGTAATGTTACTGTTCGTTCTCCTACACTTTGATATATATATGAACGTACAACTTTTAAAAATTTAAAATCAAACTCAGCGTTGCTACTGCGCGCTCCAAAAACAATAACTCATTTCCAATAGCATTTTCGGATACAACAATACATATATTTTCGTTGTCCTCTTATTACTAAGAGAAAAAACAAGAACAACATCTATTCTATACCTGAAGATGTCTGTAGGAACAGACGAAAGCTTGTAGTAAAAATAAGAACTAATACGGCAGAAATTTATATAAACAAGGATCATTTCATTCATAACGGATTCGGAGGTTTTTGTATATTATTTAAATTGTTTGCGATGATGGATTTCTCGCCAATTAAATCATTAACCTTTGCATTAGTTTTTGTGTGAATAATTCATGAATTTGTAAATTGATTGCACGTTTATCGTAATTTAAATAACTGATCCAAGTGCGACTTTTGGATAATAAGTGCGACATTACTGTAATTATTGAACAATATAGTTCATGCCACTTTGACAGAAAATTTACCAGTAAAAAAATTCGTTCATCACCATATATGTATATGAACGCACAACTTTTAAAATTTAAAATCAAACTCAGCGTTGCTACTGCGCGCTCCAAAAACAATAACTCATTTCAATAGCATTTTCGGATACAACAATACATATATTTTCGTTGTCCTCTTATTACTAAGAGAAAAAAACAAGAACAACATCTATTCTATACCTGAAGATGTCTGTAGGAACAGACGAAAGCTTGTAGTAAATATAATATATATATATATATATATATATATATATATATATGAGCGTGTATGTATGCATATATATGAATTAGTTTTCTACAGATTGAGAAGTATGCATGTATATAATTCTATATACAATCAAGAATGTATTTATATTTACATACTTGCATACATAACAGCAAACATTCGGCCTTCATTGACGGAAGACTTACAGATAATTTCAGTTAACTTTTATAAAAGCTTCCTCTTAAAACATGTGTAATTTACTATTATATTTCCCAAAATCTTTTTACTGTAAAAACATTTTCTGGCTTTAAATAAGCTGAAAAAATTAGTCAGTCAATCGATGATGTGTGGTTCTCTATGTGACTTATTATGTTCATTCGCTTGAGTTAAATATCTCGCTCAGTCTCACAGCCCAAAATACAAATTAGAAATCGGGGATGCTGTAATCAAGCAGGTACAGAAATTTAAATATCTAGGAAGTGTTTTAACAGAAGACGGAAATTGTGACACTGAGAGCAGAAGACGCATTTGCATGATCAAAGATGTATTCCAGAAGCTAAGCAGAGTATTAAGGAACAGAAAAAACTTCGTTGGAAACAAAGAGAAAATTACCAAACGATTACGCGATATATGTCCTCATCTATGGCAACGGATGCTGGACAAGCTCCTCAAAGATGGGGAAGAGACTTGAAGCAACAGAAATGTGTTTCTACAGAAAGATGCTGAGGATACCATGGACTGAACATGTGAGCAACAAAAAAGTTTTGTAGAAAATTGAAACACAAATGAAAATTATAATTAACATCAGGAAAAGGAAGTTAAAATTTCCAGGGCACGAAATGAGGAAAGAGTGCTTGGAAAATCTGATACTCGCGGGACAGATTGAGGGGAAGAGAGACAGAAGAAAGGAACGCGTAGCATACATGGTGAGCTTGAGCAAATGGATGGCAGAACAGGGTTTGGAAGAAATAAGAAAAAGACAAAACTTATTAACAGCTACAAGGGACAAGAAGATGTGGAGGTCCATGAACGCCTGAGTCCTGAAAGGACACGGACCATAAAAAATATCACAGATTAGCTTGTCAGTTTTCAGAATTTAAATATTTGGTTATGTCCCTTGTGCGCTGACCCACTGTACATCGCTATACATGAGGCGGTGTAGTGTGGACGAGTCAATGCCAAACTCTGTAAGTTTCTTTGTAGATTTAAATCCTCTTGAGAGCCACATTTAGATACTTTCGAAAACCAACATTCTCTTTCATATAATTTATATCGTTTCTGATAGCCTTCTCTTTTGTTTAAAGCGATAAAGCTGAACACAAATTGACCCAACGCCCTAACATGAGATCGATAGGGAGAGAAATGTGAGCTAAACCTAAAGGTACCAACAAGTACAAAAAAAACAAATATCTGGGAAGTGATTCAACAGAAGATGGAAAATGCAACGCCAACATTCGAAGACGCATTGAGATAGCGAAAGATGCCTTCCAAAAGCTAACCAAAGTATTAAGAAACAAGAAAATTTCTTTAGAAACAAAGACAGAGCACTAAAGTTATATTTAATATCGGTGCTCCTATATGGCCGTGAATTCTGGGTAATCCTCTCACGGATTGAGAAGAGATACGAAGCAAGAGAAATGGAGTTCTACAGAAGGATGCTAAGGATACTATGAGATGAAAATATTAACAAAGTATTAAATGGAAACAATTGAAGATATATACAAAGCAAGAATGTTAGTAATAAGTAGATGGCAGTATGTTAGCACTGCTATATTTAACACCCCGCCACGTGGGTAGTATGTGGCACAAGGCCGGTTTATTGTGTGTTCTCCGAGCCCGTAGTCTCGGACAAAAATATTCACTTCGAACCCGTATAAACGGGTTCAGGGCCTGTCTACCTCCCCTGCTGAAACTTTGCCCTGCGGCAAAGCCTCGTACGGGTTCCTCTCTGTTCAAGGCAGGGAGTTTGACAGTTGAACAGGCTAACGGTAGGTTAGCACTGCGTCTGGTCTCCCGACTGATTATCAGTATTTATGAGATGAGGAAGAGTTCATTCTACTGTAGGAGGGTTTTTCCACAACAGTGTTGTTGGTAATTTTACTAAAAAAATGTATTATTATATTGATCGTCATTTTGCTATAAAATGTACTGTTTCTCATTTTATTAGTGTTGTGGATTCCGGGGATGGAATCCGGCACAAAATGAATAACAACGCCAGTAATAGAAATAGGAAAAATATGTGTATTGAACGTAAGAATACAAAGTGAAATGAAGATTAGTAGTCCAGAAATGCGGGTTAGTAGAAAAGTATATTTACAAGTCTCTGTAAGGGAAGCCGTAATTATCTCTCTTCTGGACTCTCGTAACTCTGAGTGAACACCCTGTGTCGACCTCCTTCGTCACGCTATCTCTCCGTAGTATAAGTATACTTGGACGAGTCCATTCTGTGTACAAGGGGCGAGACCCACAATAATTAGTGAATTAAATGTTGATTTTTGTTTGGGCGTTCGCTAATTGCACATAGCTAGGATCCTAACAGGTGGTACCACCCTGGGTCAGTGTGGAACTGAAAACAGCAGCAGTTAACAGATAGTGTCACGATCCTCAAAATCTTAAATCCCTTTTTCTCTAATCTAGCTGCGGGATGTAGAATTTAGATACATGTACTGTTGAGGTACGTTTGGAGATTCACTATTTGCCCAAAGCTTGGATCCTAATAGATTCTATCACCCTGGATTAGGGTGGAACTGGAAACAGCAACAGTTGAGAGGTGGCTCCACGCTACTCCTAACCTATAACCCCCCGATCAAAGGCTTTGCTGCCAGATGTAATCTGTAGACGGGAGTTCCTACATTGAATTCAAATACGCGAAGAAGGCAAGGGGAAATCACTCCGTTGTCATTTCTAAAAAGTTATGCTAATAACGATAACGAATTCTGTTGTTCATGATGACGGTCGTCTTCGAGTATAGAATCCAGAGGTTAGCAGTGAATATTTCGAAGACAGTAGGAAAGCGTTGTTCAGGTTAGCAGTGGATATCCCGGTAAAGTAGCAGAGCGTAGTTCTTCCTTCTGTTCCTCTTCGCCTGACAAGCTGGCACTGGATATTCGGATAGAGTAAACAAAATGGCCGCCTTTATAAACGACGGATTGAATATTCTACGTCTTCTGATTGGTTAACCTTCTATTGGTGGACTATAAAGTGAGTCAAATCATTTGGGCTAGCTCACTAGTAAACATACCCAAAAACTGCAACAAATTCACGGTAAGCCATGACGCAACATAATCCCTGACAAAGAACTGTACCAAACAACGAAAACCACGTCTCTTGCTGATTTTCAACAAAAACAGCAACAAGTAAACTGAATATCTCATGTAATAGTAAAATGATGACATATCCAGATGTTGACATTCGACTTTACTTCAAATAAAACGTTAGAAAGGAAACACTCACCAGTACTGGAAAAAGCGATAAGAGCTACTGGTCCGGAGAAAACCATTTTCCTGAAAAATACCTTAAATTTAAAGATTTTATAAATTTCAATCGACTGTAGTACTGATTGCTCGGCAAATGTCTCCTTAGCAGCTTCTTTTTTCGCACTTATCGCCTGTGAAACTCTACTTCCGGATCCATACTTTCAGGACAACACTGATCTTCAGAAACTTAAATGCAAATCCAGTCGTTATCGACTGTCTCCCTCTTCACGCTTCTTCATAATATTTTCAGTTTTCTAATTGTTTCACAGTCAGTAACCTCTTGTG